TATGAGAAGAAGGTCCACAGCATCATAGTTGATCAAAAAATAAAGCAGAAGAATTACTAACCAAGACAGAAGTACTTGGTACACTGGAAAAGACTTCTAGACAGTGAGGCAAGCTGGAACCAATAGAAGACTTATGGTAGTTTTGGGATCAGATCAGCAATACCATGTAAGGACACAATGAGGGCGTTACGTAATCAGGTGATGGAGAATGTCATGCCCTGGACGGGTGTATCAAGCATATCAGGTGCACCAGCACGCGCACTTGAGGTTTAGGCTTGTGCACCAAGAGCATTGGTAGGGGTTTACGCACTAAGCCTTGGAAAAAAATCCAAAACCACCCGCATAGCATGCAGGCCAACTCGCACAACCAGCCAAGTCCGCAAGACACCTGCACCACATCAAGAAGGCCCAATAGGGGAAATGCGTAAGAAGATTTTCTAGAAGCACAGGATTAGCAGGACCTTTGATGGATCCGATTAACCCTAAAATTCAGAAAGCAAAATCTTGATTGAATGTAATCTATGTAATCTTTCATTGATTGTAATTCCTTGATTCTAAGGATTTAGCCATAACTGTAGTTGGGGTCTCAACTATAAATAGAGGGTCGCCTCACCCTTTTTTGTATATTATCATATACACTTTTGCTTCGGTAAAATACGGAGCTTATTTCAGCAATTCTCTTGTTCTTCTGTTTCTCTTAAACTTGTGCATTCTATCTTTTTCATTGTTCTAGTGATCGCACGCTTGTGTTTTAGGTTGACTTAGGCTAGAATGAGATGATTCTAAGCCTAAGGCCTCACGGATTCTAATTTTAAGGTCGGAGCCCGTGACAACAGCACACAACCTTGCCACTTAGGTTGTCTCAGTACTCCCTCAAGCTTACACTCCAGATTGATTCAACACATTCTAATCAAGTCTCACCTCGACTCTTCTATGAAAGTAAGTCCTATTAACACCTGCTTTGGGCCAAATAACCTAACATTTCTAGTATGCTTTTGGGCCAAGTCACAGCACTCAACTTTGCTACCTAGGTTGTCTCAGTGCTCCCTTAAGCTTATACTCCAGGTTGATTCAACACATCCCACAATCTCCCCCTTAGTAACACCACTGGGGCTAGAACTTGCTGTAATCTTGGCTCTGATACCACTTATTGGGGAGATAAACCATACTTGGAGCCCATGAGAGTACACCAGAAAGTCCATACATGCATATTGATACCACTTAAGCCCAAAAACTTAAGCTATTAGGTTCTTGGGTCCTTCATGCATATATAGAAAATTTCATTCAGATTTTTTAATGATCTGAAATTTTTTACTAACACGTGAACCATATCCCAACTTGAGGATCTATTAGTACTCGAGCGTAAAGGAATGCTGGAGCTTAATAAAGAAGGGGTTTGGATATGTGGCAAGTGCTTTTTGAGCACCTTTAAGCCTAGCAAGGACTTTCTTTTTACTCGAGATTTAAGAGCCCAAATACTTCTTTTTTTCCAAACTTTGAGCTCATTGGTAAATGCATGGGTGATGGTATAGACGTTAGAGTCGTTTTCTTACCCAAAAGCGTGGAGAATGTCTTTGAACTCAAGGTGGTTCATCCACATTGTTTGGAATCAAAAAGGCTTGTTGCTAAAATGGGGCTAGTACAATTCAAACAAATAAGAAAGGGGCTGTGATTAGATCTAGTTCTAGGTAGGTGTCTCACCAAGGCATTAGGGTAAAGGGTTCTCCAGGGGGGTTGGCAAGGGCGAGATCGATCCTTTCCTGGACGAGGGAGCTGGAGACTCTAAGGTTAGTCCAGGTGAAATGTGGGCCAGAAAAGCAAAGGTCCAAAAGTTTGCATGTGTTCAAGCAATTGTGAAAAGCTCGAAGACGACAAGTAGAGGTGGGTAATCCCCCTTTTTTTATCATTGCTAGAAAGGACCTTATTGAAATCCCCCACAACAAGCCAGGGGAGTTGGTGGTGGGAGGTAACAAACAGTAAGATTTTTCCAGAGCAGTTTTCTTCTCTAAACCTAGGAGTAGCATATATGCTAAAGAGGAGCCAGGAGGAGTTTGAGGAAAGTTCCTTGATGATAGCATGTATCTTTTGCTTAAGGTCGTATGGAGGATCCCCGATGACCAGCCCAGAGTTCCAAAGCATCCATATGCGTCCTCTGGCTCTGGTTTCTGTAATGATCATGATCTCCAGCTGGTGGAGACGCACACGGTCTTTGACTGTGCAAATAAAGTCTGGATGATGGGCCTCTCGACAATTCCAAACCAGAATGAACATTGGCATGGTTGTTGGTGGGGGTTGGGAGGAGTTTCTATCTGGGACTTCCATCGGGTTCTGAAGGGGGTGGTGGGCATTCCATTGTGCAACTTCCATCCAGAGGAAGAGTTTCAGCTTGTGCACTAGGGTGTCTGGCTCCTGGGTCAAAAAAGGGCTAATATACAGCCTGAGTTGATGAACAAGGTTGCTTTTGACAATGTTCAAAATAGTGGTTTGTGTGCTGAGAAGGTGAATCTCGAGAGGCCTACTGCCTAGTGTGACTTCTGAGGAGTGGATGATCCATGATGGTATCGAAGGAGGGAAACTCAAGGCCTGAGATATGGTTGAGTTAGGCACTAGCAATGGTTGCAGTGATGGAGGCAATATTAGCATGGGAGCTAGGGGCCCGACTGTTGTTTGGAGGCGAGCTTGTGGTTGTGGTCGAGGAGCAGTTCCTGCCAAGTGCCTCTCGAGTGGAGTGAGCGATCTTCGGAATCTCCCACTGATTCGGTTGCGTTCAGGGCTCTCCTCAGTGGACTTTCTGTCTGCCCTAGCGAGGCCAAAGGAGAATGTTGTTGGAAGGTTGGCCTGGGCACGCTCTGGGCAGCTGATATGAGGCGTTCCCTCCGAGCTCTTCTTTCTAGGCGAACCATCATTCTCTAGCTGGCATTAAAGTTTCGTTATTCCGGGTGTTAGAAGCGGCCACGGATCCAGCGGCCTGTCATTGTTGAGGGAGGGTTCTGGGGGGGGAGAAAAGTTGGGAGAAGTATGTAAGTTTGAGTGGGAGGGATATTGGGGAGCCTTTGGTGGTATGGGAGTTGATCACAGTGGGGGGGTCACGTGAGGGATCTCTATGGGTTTGCATGGAATTAGAAGTCTGCATGCAGGACTCAGAAGATGTCAAAGGGACGTTGCATGGAAAGGGTAATAACCTTGACATGGCCTGTCCATGAAAAGACTTTTTAAGATCCTTGAGGGGGGGAGTGCTGCTTTGGTGCTGAGATGCGGTATGGGTGGAAAGGTGGACTTTCCCTTTTTATGATTTGAGCCTGGCGACTAAGGTGGGATTAGGTCAGGGCCTAAACCATGCATGGAGGGAGAAGATGGAGACAGAGCTTGATGCTTTTTGCTAGCATGCAGATTAGGCTGATGAATAGTGTGTTTTTGCAGGGTGGCAGGGTTTGCCTGGTTGCCTCTAGCTGCAATATTTCTAACCGATTTTTCCTTTGGTCGGTGTCTCTATACAAGCATCCAAGGACCATATTTGTCCTCATCAGGGTTGGGCTTGGGCGGGGCAGTTGGCGATAAGGGATTTTCCGACGGCGTTGAGGCTTCCCTGATCCGAATCGTTTGGATGATATCAGGACATGATGCTTTTTTATGCCTTAAACGTCCACACTCAAAGCACAGTAGGCCTAATCCCTCATAGATGATGACCTGCTTGTGGCCTTCCACCGTATTGGCAGGGGATTCTCAAGATTTAATTGAATGCACAATCTGGCTTATCTTCCTCTTTCACTGGCTAAGGTGTGGTTATCAACTCGAAAGAGAGCGCCTATTCTTTTCCCTATCTTTCTCAAGATATCAGGGTCTTAGTATTCTAGAGGAAGTTTTGGGAGACATAACCAGACAACAACAGACAAGAGGGAGGGAGGCTGGAGATGCCCTAAAGTTTGGTTCCCAATGCCTAACTGCAAGGAATCGGCCCCCAAGGAACCATGGTCCTCCTTTAAGAACTGCTTCATAATCTTCAGGGTTATGGAATCTAATGAGAAGTAATCTCCACCAAGGTCGATCGTGAAGAACTTACCTTGTAGCTTCCAGAGTTGGTTGAGCTTATGGACAAGGTATTGATATCCAACTGTTTTCCCGTAGACTTTGACAATGAGGGATTTAGCCCATTTTGATCGTAAGCGCTGTTTTTCTTCTTTTGTGTGAATGATATTGATGTTAGCATTGGCTTCTCAGATGGAATGCTCCCGACTATCTTCATCAGAATCCGTTTCCATACCGTCATTGTTCGTTTGGTAAAAGGGTTGGTGGAAAGCCCCATAGTTGGTCCTAAGAGGGAGTCTTTATAAGAAAAGATTGGTCTTGAAGGGATGTGAGGCTCTTCCTCCTGAGTGGTTTGGTTACCTTTAACCTCTTTTGTGCTCCGGTGGAGTTCAGCAACCTCTTCTGTAGAGGGGCAAAGTAGGGGGGAAGAAGAGAGAGTTATGAAAAAAAAGGCCTTCGTTTGAAAATTACAACTTTAAATGTAAGGATGTGAAGGCTTTGACGGAAAAGTTACCATCATATGTAACTTTATCCAACGTGTATAAACTGGTTAATAAGCATTGCTCGAGTGCTGGAGATTGTATTTGATGAAAAGGTACATCTGAAATATTCAGGAGCAAGGTTGCGATAAAATAAAAAAGGCATGGTTTTGCATGTGGAACAGCACTAGTATTTGTTTATTCATAAAAATAAAATAAAATAAAAGCTATGTAATTTGGTTGGTGAAAGCACATCAAACAATGGAGATCACACTTTTATGTTACCATATTATCACCCACCGTTTTACCATAAGCCTCATTCTTCAGATGGTATAGGTTATTCTATGTTGCCACATGGAATTTAAGTTATGAGGATGGACCGAGTCAAGTGATTATCCTGAGAAGCTAAGTTTTAAGATGGAAGTAGAATGATTTTTCCAATAAGCTAATTTTTTAGGAAAGGATTTCTCGTTTTTTCTTATTAAAAAAAAGAAGTTTTTTCCTTACTCTCTCCATATATACACAAAGAGTGATAGAGTCAGGGTGATACCATGCTGAATTTTCTTCTCAATTTTACTCGACAAACTGTTGCATATATATCTTGACTCTGAATCCTGGGACCAACGGTGCATCCATCAATAAAATGGTAAAGCAAACTTTTCCTTGATTTTCTATGTTGTGGAACAATTGAACAAGAGAAGTTCAAATATATTTGTTGGTACTAATTTTATTAATAGGTTATCTGAATACTACATGAATGAAGTTGAAGTTAGGCCGCAAAATGCCTACTTGGCCTCCCGAAAACTTGAATCACAAGAAACCGAGGTAACTTGTAACTGATCAGCCTCTTGTTCTCTGATCTCTTTGGCTTCTTGAGCAATTTTTGAAGCACAATTCCGCATCTCTTTGTTCTTGCCCCAAAGAAGAATATACAGCCCAATGATGACAACTATTGAACCCAACAAACTGTTCATATGAGTGCCAAGGAAGAAAGTTAGCACTGCGTATTTATCAGCTTGTACATAAGCAGATATATTAATTAGTTAGAATAATAAACCTCCCAAGATTGAGTTGTTCGTGGAGGATGGGGATATCAAACATAGCTGCCATTATCTGAACAAGAGGACTGAAGGCTGCCGTGAAGACAGGACCCCTCTTCTTGACGCACCACGCCATGCCCACATAGCACAAGCCTGATCCTATCATTCCCTGCGTTCACGGAAAAATGGCATGCTAATCAAGGAAGAAGCTCAAGCATCGAATAGCAATAGACAGATTTGAGCATATTTGCTAGCGGGTGTCCCTTCAAGAACCAAATACGTTATTTATCTGTCATTTGCTGTTATTTTTATTTCAGGGAATGGAAAGCGCTAATGCTGTCTGCAATGTTCTCTATTTTGGTTAATGGAATCTACTTGGATTGTTAATTCAGAAAATGTAAAACACCACCCTGTCGGTAGTGTTTACCATCTTGGTTTATGTAATCTACTTGGATAGATGGATTGTTAATTCAGGGAATAGAAAACACTAATGCTGTCTGCAGTGTTTTCCATTTTGGTTTTTGTGGATTCTACTTGGATGAATTATGTGGAGAAAGTCCACACGACAGGAGTACTAATTTCTGCAAGAAAAATAAAATTACAAAAAGATACGTTAAATTGAAGTTTTGAATCTATACCTCTTTTGTAATTGAATATCAACAAGGAAAAATATGTTTCAGAAAAAAGATCTCTAATGCTACCCTAGCCTACAAGACAGCATATACCTAGGCCAGGCTTCCCTACTCCTTGACCTAGAAACCTGTGGATGGGTTAAAAAGTCACTCTGTTGCTACCATCCTAGATGTTATCTTCTGTGTGGGATTGGTATTACCTTCCTAGAATTAGTCACATTTACACCAAAAAAGCACGTTGGGGACAATATCACAACCTAGATAAAATCTACTTGTAAGAAGAGCAGACTTACAGCATAGAGGACAGTTATAATTTCCACTTTTCCCTTCAGAACCCAAACCGAAGGGTCCCTGCTTGTAGACAAGCTAAAGATAGCTGATTGGATTGCTCCAAAGAAAGACATGATTGCAGTGCTGGAATATTGGCAGGGATATCTTTCGCCTACATTTGATTGAATGATAAACCATGAAGACCACAATACGGTTCCTACTATCAAAGCTAGGCAACCAATGGTCCACCTCTCTGCTCTTCTAGAGGAGCTCAGCTTGATCGCATTTGCCATAGTTGGAGCCATGGCCTGCGAGAGTGGGTGTTTGAATAAAGGAATTCCTTTATAAAGTGTTAATAGCAGGGCACCTCCAACACAAATCACTGAACCAAGTATTTTGGCTCTCCCACTGTGGCTTTTGAGGTTCACAGTTTCTATCCTACAGCATAAATAAGTGACGCCAGAGAGAGTAAATTACCATGCAAGGATATGGTAACCAAGTTTTACAGAAGAACATAGTACCATAATATAATGGCTAATTTACATCCATACCGAAATGGTAATGCCATTATAAACGTCAGCACTGGCACCATGTTGACAAAGGCGCACGAAAATGTAGCAGATGTGTATTGAATTCCAAGGAGAAAGAAATACTGCGTTAGTGAGGTCCTACAAGTAATTATAAGTTAGGTGTGCCTGTTATATTATCAACAATAAGGCTAGAAGGAAATACATGAATCTAGTTCAATATAACTAACCCAACGATTGCACTGCAGAAGAGGTAACATAAAATGCGTGGTGTGAGCTTTGGTCTGCTGTTCCTGCAAGCAATCTTGGATCAGGCTGTGTTTAATTACAAAAATATTTTTTGGAGAATAACCTTGACCATGTAGAGCCAATTAGCAATTTAGTCCTTAGCAGTTGAAGAAACTAACGAGAGGGGTGCGCTAAAGCTAAACACACTCAAGAAATCAGAATTTAGCTCACTATCAAAGGTAGAGAATTTTGTCAAAATTGTAAAAGAAAAAGTAATAGGAATGGAGACTGGGAAGCTCCTACCTTTCCCAAAGTAGCCAATAGGGGCCAAGAAAATTGTGGAAATTGACAGCCGGAATGTTATGAGGACCAAATGGTTCATCCCTTCGTCAAGGACTTTCTTAAGAAGAATATTCACCACCGTAAAAGAAAAATCAGTTGCTATCATTGCAATAAAAGGTTTCCATTCATTACAGCTCTTCAACTCTGCCATTAAATCCAGCAGTCAAAGAGCCAAGTTAAGGGTGGTGCTACCTCTCTCTCTTTGTGAACAATTTCTTAATAGCACAACTGAGACAGTCATCTATAGCACAACTGAGACAGTCATCTGTAGCTCTAAATAGATGGACTCCAGAATAAGTGGGAACAAAGCAAGATTAAATTCTTCAAATCACATCAATGCTTTAAGCAACCAACTTTGACAATAGTTTAATAATTATTCTCATCTTTTCACTTTATTTTGACTGATCCTTTCAGACAAATGGAGATTAGTTTGGAATCCTTTGCCAGGCCCTGGCAAAATATGGAAGCATCAATGCATTTCCACCAGCCTTTATTTCCATATCTCTTCTAGGCTCTATTTAATTATCAGACAATGTTCTCCATGCCGATCAAGATTTCATGGTCAGTACTGTAATATTACTACATATAACTCATGTAGCCATATTCTGATTAGGGGTTAGGAGAAAATGATACTCTCTTCCCTCTTTCGGTTATGCATGGCATCTAATACTTAATCTTTGAAACAGCGAAGAGAAGCATCGCCTCACCCTACAACGTGATAAACAAGAACAATGTGTCAAATCCTGCACCAGTATTGCACCCGAAGAGATAGTGAGAGAAAAGCACTTGATGCACCCTGTGACTATTGAAATGACACAAAACTAATTGTTTGCTCTTTGAACTTTCCAGTTCTACAATCCAAGTGCTGAATTTCAGGCTATTGGTATCATCTCAGAAGTCTACTTAATTTACACGTTCTTTACCCAATACAGGTTTAAACATCTCTAACTCTTGTAGTCCAATCTTAATATACTCTTCCCACTGAGTCTTTGCTAGTTTCCATCTTTGGGTATTTAGACATTTGGCATTTATTCTTCATCTGATTCAAGAACAGCCAGCAAATGCTCTGAAAAAGAGTGTTCTTGACTGCATTTATTATTAAACATTACCTTGGAATGTATGTATTGCTCATTGGTCATAGCAGATTTAGTTATCCCCAGAATTGAAAAGTTTAAAGTTTAAAGTAACCATTATCCAATGTAATCTACAATAACATGTTGCCAAATATGCTTATGCTAGAAATTGTGGTATTCTACGGATTGGAGGTTTATATGTAAAGATCATGTAGGAGATGCTTTGGGGTTTCATAAACTAGGATTTTAACTACTCTATCTTGCCATCTTGGAGCGTTCGACGTACTGAAATTCCCTCCCTCCTATAATTTCCTTAAATTATACAGGCACTGAGAATGAGATTTTGATTCCAGATGCCAAAAAAACAACTTTGCAGTGACCAAGACCATTCATTTATGACTTTTGTACGAGTCACAACTCACCACCGTACTACCTTTCTTCCAATGGCAGGTAAAAAGGCCCCACCCCATCTCTTTAACTTTCTTATGCTATGGAATAAAAACATTAAAAATGTTTAGGAAATAGGCAGAGTCCTCGGTCCAGTCATTTACACAAACATTCTCTTGCAGATTATAAGTCTGAAGGACGATTTTGACTAAAGTAGTTCCTAAAATATTGGCAAAAGTATTTCAAATTCTTTTATTCCTCTAATCAACGCATTCATTCCGTATTAAATTGGCAAGCTTAGATTGTAAACAGCAAGTTAATGAAAGAACTGCTTCCAACCTATTGGCTGAACTGTTAAAGCAAAAGCAAATATGATGTACATGATCAAAGAAGCGGACACTAAGCCCAATTTCTTGATTTTCAAAGCTGCATTCGAGCAAACAATTCGGTTGTCTTGCATTTTAGAGATTGCCTTAACAAAATCTTGTAAGTTGTTAATAGTGCAGACAATGACCAACACTGGAAGCTTTTATTCCAGACTCAGCTACTACAAACTTACGTGCATAGCCATTCCCACCAAACAAAAGACAGAAATAAGATCATACGCCGGATTAGGACAACATCTAGCATCAGACATGAGTAGGACTCCTATTAAAAACATAATTATCAAATTTAAATTGTGTTTTAATTATCCACATCAAGTGGCACCTCTGGCTTCCTCTTTGAGATGACATAAGCTATGAAGTAAGAAAAAAATCATTGATAGCATCTTGTATGGAGATAGGAACAAAACCTTTTTGTAAGGTTTTTGTAAGCCAGTCTTAGTAGACGACTTTTATAATTAATTTTCACCTCTGGGTTTGGACACACCTATGCTGTCTCACCCCAGATATTTTGTAGTTGGGAAGAACTTACAAAAGGGTCATTATCAATTTTCATAGTACCATGAACCTCAGCCCACAATCAAAACAAGATGTTCTTCAGCAGTTGGACACATTTATGTTTTCACTCGGAATCTTAGGGATTAATGTAATATCAAATTTCATTTAATAGACTTCTCATTCCAGCAGACAGCAGAGCAGTTCCACCTATCAGTTTATTAGATTTAACAGAGTGATTAGTTGAAAACATGCAGTTATGATGAACAAAGCAACTCGACATTTGGGATAAAAGTTTACCAAATTATCAACTGCCAAAAATCATGCTTTCCAATGGTAATATAGCAACTTTTAGTTGTATGTAAAAGTGTAAATTTTAGCTATCAAAGTGCAAACCAGTAGCTTAAAATTTGATTATTCATTCTAAGTTACAGCATCGTTGTTAATATGAGCTTTCTCATATAAAGGCTAAAGAAGCATTTTTTCTGTTTTGAAAGAGATTTTGTCAGTATCACTTAGACATAAGAAAGGATTTATGGAGTAGGGAAAGAAAATTGCAGCAACAAGTTACGATCTGATACTAAATGCTTGACATAGTGCTGTATGTAAATGACTAGTACATTCTTTGTGCTTTTTCCCTGAGAAAATATTCAAATTACAGCTTAATTGGGATTCTACTGCCACAAAGTAAAGAATGATTAGTCGGTGAATGTTGTTGTACAAGTTATAAAGAAATAGAAAATGAAAGAATTACATTAATCGTAATGAATCTGTGATTGGCTGATATGATCAACCAAGCACAGAGGAAACATAGAGGTAAGGATCCCAAAAGCCGTTAGCACTACTCCAACCGTTGTTGTCACACTGCTCAAACTGCTGATCGGATGGCCAAACACCTTCTGTTGTTCCATCAATTTGAGGCATTGGCATGCTCACCATATTTGTTTTGCCTTTCATATTCATTTGCAACTCTATTAGGCACTGTTCTGAATATGGCGAGTCCATCGTTGATTCAGTTGTCCCCGGAAGTGGCCATGTAGATGTAAAAGTTGTAGAGGTAGTGATATTAAACAGTCCATTCGAAGGGACTCGGTTTATCTGTGTGCCCCATGCAGCTTCAAATGATGGTTCATTGGACCATATCATGCTTGCCGTAGATGCAATTTGGCTTTGGCCAGGTTGATGCCATTGAAGCCCAATATGACCAGCAGCCACTTGATCATCATGTTCATGATCATGATTTAGGACAAGGTCAGGCCTGTTAGGACCAGGATTTACAGGACCCTGAACAGGGTCCAAGTTTCCAATTCCTTGAGGTGCCACAGTTGTGGTGCCTGACTCTCTGCTTATATTATTGTTGTTATGAAGAGAGTTAGAAGCAAAGCTAGGTTGCAAACCAGCATAATTAGCAGGTGATAGGACTCTAAGACCTTTACCGTCAAGCAACTTGGCCTTGAGTGCACCAAGAAATCCATCAGCATCACTCCCCGTCCCACAGACTTCCTCAAACGAGAAAGGCTGAATGTTATCCAGCGAAACGCCGTTGCCAGAAGTATTTGAAGCTGACTGAGGTAGTTCAAAGTTGGTGCGCGCATTAGCTCCACGCAAGGCCCGCGCAGCATCATCGTAAGCTCGAGCTGCATCCTCGGCAGTATCAAAAGTTCCAAGCCAAAGCCTGACCTTTTGCAAAGAGTCCTTAATCTCAGCCACCCATCTCCCTGATGGTCTCTGCCTAACGCCTACGAACCTATGGTGTCCTCTGGATGATGACTTCCTTCTGCCACGCACACCAGCACTGCCTGGAGCCCCCATAGTTAAATTCCTTCCTTTTTATCGAACCTCTGAGTAGCCAAGCTTCATGCTTCTTATAATTGTGACTTTTGAAAGGGTATCATTTGGTATGCTATTTGTCGACAACAAAGAAATGGCAAAACCTGGTGCTTAAAATATTGGTTTCTCAATTGCAGGCCTAGTTGTTTACATCGACGCAATTACTACAAAACAATAGCAACCAATCAGACATTTTCATGGATTGTATTTTGAAACAATGAGAAGCAGACAGACAAACTGAATTCTTAGACTTTTTAAGAGACGTGGAAAATAAAAGAATGAAAGTTTTTTTTCCTTTAATTTGATGATTAAGTTTTAGGACCTTGTCCAGTTGTCCTTGTTTTGTAGCATTTTTATTGAATTAAAAAATAGTTTCCTCATTCTTTCTATGACTCTTATCTTTCATTGTCAATCACCATTACTAGTGATCATTATTTTTATACAAGTGTTTTCTTGGTATGATTTGTTTGTTTTTTTTTTTTTTTCCTTTTCCGTGTTTTCTATTATTTACTATATAAAATAGGCTAAGGATTAGCTATATACTACGTATTCTTCCCATTTTAACCATTTTTTATGCCATTAATTTTACCATTTCATGTTTCAAATATAGTAATCGGTACCATACAGTGAGCGTATTACTTTTCTTGATATTGACATGTATTGATAATGGTGCATTTGAATGTAACTTTTTGAATTTACTCTTATTATTTAATATTTTATTTATAAAATATATGTACACGTACAAATAGTCTTATTACATATATTTTATATATCTATATGCAAATATAGATTTTAAAAATTACAAATATTTAATATTAAAAAATTTCAAACCTTTAATAAATAAATAAATATAAAAATATTAAGAAAATATAGTAAGTTATTGTTTAATGACCTAATTTACTGAACATATTCTTTTAAATGGAATTATAAAATATAAAAAAAATCATAAGAGAAAAAATTAAGAAAATATTAAAAGAATACGAGTTATAAAATAAGAAATAAATATTAAAAAAAAAATTTTAAATCTTGTACGCGGTACAAGTTACAACTAGCATGGATCAAAATGGCCCATACAAACCGGAATGGCCGGTACGAAC